TGGTTTCATGTGACTTCATTTCAGTTTCATTATAATTCTAATTTTATAGTTGAATTCATGAGTCAGTTGAAACTAGACCGCCATGGAAAATCTAGAAGCACTGGACGGCCGTTTCATTCTAGTATAGGACTCCTCAGCAGTCACCAGTGTAGTTCAACTAGGTCTGTTGTGAGATAGTAACTCACTAAAGATAATGGTAGACGGTGGCTCAATTTCGTGTATTGGTTGAAGCTAGATATTAACACCATTGGATGACAGCTCAGTGGTCTAGAGGTCAAACGTTCGCGCGCGAGACCAATATGTTCTGGGTTCGAATCTGTTGAGTCCCATACAATGACGAAACAGCCGTCCAATACTTCCAGGTTTTCCATGATGGTCTAGCTTCAATAATAATTTCATTAATCTTGACAAAGTTTAACTTACAACTTCTTTTTCTCTTCTCAAAGACAAAGATTTTGTATACTAAATAAGATAATTATATCTTATAGTCAATATGTCAAAACTATGAAACATCATTCCAAAAAAAATCAACAACATTTTCTATAAACAAAAAAGAAGAAAAAAGTCACAATTTTAGTAGTATAACAAATAATGTAATAAACTGTCATTTTAAAACTATCTGAATGACAAAATCATTTAATACCTAGATGAATAGATATCTTGTGGCATGAAGTACTTCACACTTAAAGTATAATTTTACATATACGTTAACTAAGTTTCAAAATATCTACTATATATATATCGTTTGAAACATACCTACTTGTAACAACCACTTAACATATTTCATAATTAATTATGTGAAAATTCCTTATCTCTTTTCACCTTACACAATATTGATATTATATAGAAATAGACCACCACTTGAAACTGAAGAGTTTATATCATTTTATTTTAGAAAACAATTATTCACATATTTTATATCATGTTCAATATAGAAAAAGGAAGAAAGAAAGAAAAAAGAAAAAAAGAAGAAAAAACCAGTCTAATGTATTATATAATTGACAAGCATCACCAATTATAAACTATGAATAATAAAGATTATTTGAAGTGTGTTTTTTTCAATTTAAAAGGTTTGGTTATTAAGAAAAGGTCTTATTTAAAAAATTTTTTATCATTGATCAATGTAGATAAAAGAAAATTACAAGTACTGAATATTCTTAATGTTGCATAGAATGACTTTTCAAATGATCATACTTATGATTTTTATGAATAACAGTCAATTTTCTTTACATATATCTGACTAAATTATTATTCTAGTTAGATTGAGAATTCATTGTTACGTTACTTACTTACTTACGCTTGTTAACCCTCATGGAGGAGCATAGGCCACCCATGAATCCATTGTTAGGAGTTTCATTAAATAAAAATCAAACATGAATAGTGTGAATAACTAAGAGACATTATAATAGTATTTAATAATAGTTAATAATAAGATTTTCAGTGCCCTGAACAAACTAAGATTTATCAATTGATAGATACAAAGGTTATCTTACAAACTCTGTCATTATTTATTACTTAATTGTTAAATATAATCAAAGTAGTTTAGCCAACTAGCTGTAAGATTCGTGTCGTCTTAAATTAACGCATCCTCTTCTAAGAGAGCTATTTAAGAACGATAATACATGGAAGTATGTTTGAATGAAGGTAGAAAAAAAGTTCAGTTGTGTCCTTTCTAACTACTTCATTAAATAAAACTGATCTGTATGGCAGATACGGTTTGGCAATACCAACTATCCATTAAGATATTAAATTCTTGAGCCTCTTCATGATAGCCTTCAACAGCATATCGTCAAACTACGTGGACTAACTAATGACCACAATTTAACCTGGCCGACAAATTTTAATCAACATAATAGATTAGGGAACAGACTTATTCCAAGTAAGGAATGGGGTCAAACAAGGCTGTCTACTCTTCCTCCTTTTTTTCTCCTATTGGTCGACTGGATTATGAGGACCTCGAAATCTGAGGGAAAGCACAGAATAAAATGGACAGATTACATGCAACAAGATGATTTGAACTTCACAGATGACATGACCATTCTGTCTCATACACACCAACAAATACAGATAAAGACAAGTAGTGTAGCAGAAGCCTCCACATCAGTAAGCCTCAATATACACAAGGGAAAAGCATGATCCTCAAATTCAACACAGAGAATACCAACCCTATCACACTTGATGGAGAAGATTTGAAAGATGTGGAGTCTTTCACATACGTGAACAGCATCATCGATGAACAAGGAGGATCGGATGCAGACATAAATGCAAGGACGAGCAAAGCAAGGACTGCAACCATACAACTGAAGAACATATGTCACTCAAAACAACTGTCAACTAATACCAAATTCAGAATCTTCAATACGAACGTCAAGACAGTCCTATTGTATGGAGCTGAAACTTCGAGAACTACCATAACCATCATCAAGAAGGTGCAAGTATTTATAAACAATCGTTTACGTAAGATACTCAATATCCGTTGTTCGGATACCATCGGCAACAGCCTTCTGTGGAAGAGGAAAATCCAGCCTCCAGTTGAAGAGAAAACTAGGAAAGGAAGTTGGAAATGGATGGGGAATACATTGAGGAAAACATCAAACTGCATCACAAGGCAAGCGCTAACTTGGAATCATGAAGGGAAACGGAAAAGTGGAAGGCTGAAAAACACACTACATCGGGAATGGAAAGCATGCATGAAAATGATGAATAACAACTGGAAAGGATTTTCGGGGACAGAGTTGGATGGAAAGTATTGGTGGACGGCTTATGTTCCTCCACGAAATTATTTAGTCGGTTCAATAATTATCTAACTCACGGAATACTACTATATACCCAATGTAATTAATTAGTAGGCTAAAAACTTGTAAATAATCACCGATTGATTAAATCATATCGTTTAATAAATAAATTGACCAGCACCGTATTCAAAGAAATTTACATAGCAATTCTAAATAGTTCAGTAGGATCTTTAGACAGGAATTATGTTTCATTGTATAGTTCATAAAACGACCTGATCTTTGTTTAATAACCACTGAAATATAGAGAGTACTGGACAGTTATTTCGTTCTACTATGAGACTCCCTAACAGTATTTATCTTCAGTCCCACTAGATATGAAATCCAAGACTTTCAGTCTCACAACCAGCACTTAATTTCTGAATCAATGAGTCAGAACTTAATAGTTTACATGTTCATCTGCAATCAATCAGTGACATAAAGCAAGCATTTTTCCAAGTCACAGATAGTTAACTATCTCATAACTGATTGATAGAAATTAAAGATATAAACTAGCAGATTATGACTCATAGGCCTAGAGTTTAAAAGTTGGATAAGAAACTTATGTTCGTGGACTCTATCTCCAGTAGGGCTAAGGATGAGAGTAGTGTTAAGGATTCTCATCCTAGGACGAAATAACTGTCCACTGCTTACCATCTTTCAGTAGTTATTTAACTAAGATCAATTCATCATATGAACTATAAAATTTAAAAGTTTCCAGAAAACCAATAAATTAATTAACTATATTTCACTTTACCTATATTAAAAACGTAGCATATGATACTTGTTTTAATAATCCAACTTTTCGATGTGTTTTTTTTAACAGTCCTCTACTTCATCCTTCAACAACTAAAGAAAAATTCACCAGAATACCATTAATAACTTATTCGCTTTTTAGTACATATTAGTTTTAAAAATCAACATTCCATCTAAAAATGACCGTGAAATAAAAAAAGATTCATAAAGTCTATTTGTTCTTTTCAATCAGTTGTTAATTAGTTTTGGCAGTTGTCAGCATTAAATAAATAAACACTATTTAAAATGAGAATTCTATTATTAATGAATCTTTTTATTTCATTGCAGGTCATCTCAAATAGTTTAAAAAGTCAATTTTCAACCCTTATGTCATGAGTTGGAACATCATTTCATCTGTTTCGATCAGAATAGTCAAATAGTATAACTACCTGTCAAACAATAAATGCAGTATAAAATTGAGTTAGAGGACTCAAATGCGGTCACCTATTTGCATTAATTTCCTGAAAATCATATAAATTGTGTTAATTAAAAATTAAAAATCGTTTAGAAACTGTAGTGTTCAATGCAAAAATACTTGTCTAATTTTCTAAAACTATATATGACTCAACATAGTTACAAGTTCGATATATCTTTTCACATATAACCAGTACATAAATCTGACATTAATAAATATCTTAAGCAAAAACTCTTGTCAGTTATGGGCTGAAGTAAACCTCTCTTTCAATATTCTAAACGTATTATACATGAAAGCTTCTAAGCAGCCATTCATAGGTCAATGGAAGTTAGACATTAACACCGTTAGATACCGGTTCAGCAATCTAGAGGTTAAATGTTTGCGCACAAAACCGAAGGTCCTGAGTTCGAGTCCGTCTGGTGAGGGATCGTGGATGCGCACTACTGAGGAGTCTCATACTACAACAAAACAGCCGTCCAGTACTATCAGGTTTTCAATGGTGGTCTAACATGAATCGATTCATGATCTCAATAAAAAAAATTTAGATTCAACTGTGGAACTTCACAAATAACTCAAATGCTAATCACAATAATCATGATCATCATTATTATCATCATCATCATGAGTATCACTGTCATCGTCATCAGCATAGTTACACAGATATAATCTAATAGTTATTTTAGTTTCTAATTAAAGTATAATATATTTTCAAAATGACTCCCACTTTTTTTAAGACTTAAAAATAAACTACTTAATACTATAGTCTCATAGATACCACTACTGTCAGACAACCGGCATTCCAATTCTTTTTTTTGTATTTTTTCACTTCACAAGCAACAACAAAAAAATAGTTTTAAGAAAAAAAATCAATTTGTAATTCAATTATTTCGATGAATAAAAGTATGTTTTCATTGGAAAACATATTTGTTTTAATGCATGTATCATAATTTACACATACATTTCAAGTTAATTACAAATTTCGATAATAACTACCGGCAAATTATTTAAATGTAATAACATTTCTCTATAAAAGTAGAATAATTTTAGATTTTTTAAACAGATGTTTTAAAAACATTGAAAGTAACACTTGTTTGTTTGTTCTTTTTTGGTGAACGAAAAGAAAAAAGAAAAAAGAGAAAGAGAATTCATAAATTACATGTACAGTTTAAAGCCTGACACTATAAACGTAAGTGGACATTTTGTGTAGTGCTTAAATGTTTGGTTGTTTTTTTTATTACATTTGATAATGTTTAGTAAAGATTGCTATAGAGGTTATTTATAATTCGCACTAATAACTCACTTTCTTTAAGATTGTAATTCATAATTTTGCCAGAAAGTTAAATCAGGAACTTGTTCTAATAAAAGCAGTGATTTTCATTCTGTGGTATTGAAATGATTCATTGCATAGCTATAGTAATCGTTAATAAAACATTAACATATCTAATCATTGCGTTGACCTGAGTGTAGTAAAGAAAAATGGGGTGTGAAACTTGATTCTCATATTATCAATCTAAATAGATGATCGTCAACAAGCTTACAGTTGTTAAAGTTAGGTAAAGATTCTAAAATTCCCTTGCTATTGTTAATAGCTTTGTCACATAGCTTCCAGTTCACGAACCCATAAATCCATATATCGTAGATTGTAAATAAAGTATATATTTTAACTAGAAAACAAATAATTAGAACAGTCTGTTGTAAGTAACTGATCACATTTTGTCCGTTTCACTTCTAATAACCAGTAAAACATTTATGAAAACTAAGTATTGAAATAATAATTGTTTTATTCAACACTAAATGCATGTAAACAAAGATGAATGGTGGCTAGCAGTGGAATCCAGGAAGTGTTCCTCGTCTTATATAGGATTAATCACATGGATGTATTGCATTTCAGATTTAATGTTTACTTTGGGATTGGAACTTATTACTGTTCACTTCGAACATCATCGTGCTATTCACTTAGTTACTGAGTTCAGATAGCCACTAGCTTGTGCAATAAGGTGAAGTTTAGTTTATTTGTATTAGTTATTAGGTAATCCACACAGGATGCACATATGTCGATAAAAGACTGATCAATTGCAGTCCTAAACATCAATGGAAAGATTCAAACAAACAATACAAAATGAAATATATCTATGATTACAGTAAGTAGGTTCTTAGCATAAAAATATTCGGTATTACTGTAAATTTTATATTAATATACATGTCATTTGTAGCTATTAAAACATGCATCAAAATGTATTCCAACATTATTTATAACTCATTCATCCTCGGTAGTGTAAACGGTGGATCATTTCCACATTGCACAAAACATTTTCTATATAAATTTCAACATTTTCTAACCCTAGTTTGTCCAGATAATAGACGAAATGGAAAATATGACAACAGCTTTGATGTTTCTTCATGCAGTCTTTGGTATTTATGATTTTGATAGATTATATGCTTTTCAAAAAATGATATTAACATAAAATTTCATTAAATTATTCTGAAACAAAAATTTTTTTATCTCAATAGTTACATAATTTTAAAATGAGACAGATAGTTCCTGGGTTCGAATCTCACGAAGCGGGACGAAACAGCCATCCAGTGCTTTCAGGTTTTCCATAGTGATTTAGCTTCAATTGACTCGTGATCTCAACTACTAAATAAAAATTAATTAAAAGACTATCCCTAATGTCTGTAGTTTTTTTCAAATACATTTTCGACAATACGGACTGTTTGAATGTCATGTCAAATCATTTTAAAAAATTATTATAGAACTACTGAAAATGAAATAGTGAGTAATATATGTGGAATATTTGACAACATAGAATTGTATTTTACATTTCTTAGTTCAAACTACTTATATTTTCGATGAATATATAAATGTGGATAACGCAATGTGAAGACGAAATTTATTACTAAGGAATTTTAAGCAGAAATTCGAAGGCATTCAACTGAATCTGTCTACATTGTATTTAGTTGATACGTGTTCACTTATTTCAACAATAAATAACTTATATATAGAATTTTTTTAATTTAGGCAGACAAATTAAATAAAAATTTTCAGCAGAGGAGTTTTTGGAGATTGTAGCACTTTAACAGTTAAATTCACCAGTCGTTTTAGGCTAGACTGGCATTGAAAACTTGGAAGCACTGGAGAAGACGTGACCTGTGAAGTCGAATCTGTGTCGCATGTTAGACAGTCATTCATCTCAGACAATGGACGAAGGGTTGTGCAGGATTATGAATCGATTGAAGTTAGAAATTAAAATCGTTGCATGCCGGCTCAATGGTCTAGAGTTTAAGCGTTTGCGCACGAGACCGAATGTTCTGGGTTCGAAACCCTTTCGTGAGGAATCGTGGATACACACTACTGAGGAGTCCCATACTATGACGAAACAACTGTACAGTGCTTCCAGGTTTCCCATGGTGGTCTAGCTTGTATTCAACTGTTAGAATAAAATTTGTCATGACTATGATAAGCGTTTGAAAAGTCAGTGCATATTTCTATATCTTATGTATTATAATTGATCATTGAAGAATGTTGGTAATAAACCAAGACTTTCGATAATTATTTTAGTCATTTTTACTTTATAATCTTAATGTATTACTTTATTTTAGTATTGGGTTACTCACTTTACTAGACACAGTCAATAATCTTCAATTAGTAGAACATATACAACAATTATGTACCTGAGACAAAATGAATGATCAGTGAATTTCTACATAATTTTTATTTATTTAGTTTTAAGTGGTGAACTTCAAGTCTCAGATTAAACCATCTTCCTGTGATAGATATTCTGAGGCATCTTTCACCATATGACATGGAAGTGTTTCTTTTTATTGAGTAGCCATTAAATTAAGTGATAACTTTATTACTTAAAAAACTAATTTGTCTTTACGTCCCACTGTTAACTGTATATCAAAATATTTTGAGTAATACATTTAATCAGCCTATATTTGCGTAGATCAACTGCAAATATATACCTTAAGCTTACATTATTCGTGTTTTACATAAGAATATAACCTTTACTTTTAATTAGACAGGGTTTTTCGAAATTTATGTAAACTCCACTCACTTTAAAAAACTTCCTTACATATAAGATGTAATTCAATGTATTTTGAATGTACAATGGATTTAACCGATTCTTAAATGCATTTTCACAATCATTAATTCCAAAAACTACCTCTCATCCCAACCACAAAAACCCACTTAAATAGAATTTTGTTTAGAAATTATTCGATTTAGTCTAAACTGAAAACATTTGAATAAGACATTCAAACAGTTTAACAAAACTGCTGAGGAGTCCCACAGTGGGACGAAACGGCCTTCCAGTGCTTCTAGCTTCTCCATGGTGGTCTAGCTTCAAATGACTCATGATCTCAGCTATTAAAATTATTATAATATCCATAAAACCCCTTCTGACATTATGAATTTAATAGATTTATGAAAAATTAAACTCTAAAATTTGAATTTTCGTTTTTAAAAACAAAATGATGGGTTATAAATTCACAAACATAAATACATACATTTTTTATTAGTTGTTTGAATCTTTCCATTGTTGTTTAGGACTGCAATTGATTGGTCTCTTATTAGCATAAGGGCATCCTATGTTGCCTTTATTTATAAGTATTGTAAGCAGAGATGGATTGTGGCTAGCAGTAGAATTCAGGACGCATGCTTCATTTTATTTTGAACTCGTCAGACAGATGTACTTTCATTTTAAAATTTATGTCTACTCCAGGACTCGAACCCATTATCGTTCACTTCAAACACCATCACGTTATTCACTTAGCTACCGAATTCAGCTAGCCACTAGCATGTGTAATTGGGTGATGTCTGATTAAGTTTTGTATTGGTTGTTTGAATCTTCGCTATATTTATGTAAACGGTTTTATAAAATGTCCTTAAGCTTTGACAATGGTGTTACCTATAAGTAGATAGTTGCAAGGAAGAAAATTTCGGAGTTTATAATAAAGTAGAGCTTATTAACTGTTTTGAAGCTAAATCAATCCATAGATTCTGAGATTAGTTTGGTTTACTTTTCTACAAAACGATATGAATATAATTTGTAAAACTCATTATATTTTTTCCGAAAACAACGTGTAAATAACCATCAAAAAACGTTACAATCCATTTATAGACATATTCCTACAAAAGTCTGTCATTGTTTTAACTTATGACATTTTAATATTATTTCCTGTCTAATTAGTATACCCATAAGATAGCTCGTGTTAAGTATGAAAGTAAATTTTTCTACCCAACTACTTATATATGAATAATGAAAATTTCATGATTTCAAAGAATTCAATCTTTCTATCTCTGGGCATATAAATTTCTTATCCCTTTGGTATTAAAAAGAAATTATTATAATAGTAACCAATCAGATTTAACCTGATAAAATTCCCCATTCTCTCCCTTTATTCATTTATTACCAATAGATAGATTTAGTAGCCCGTTAACTAATCGAATTCTATTGTTGCTTGTTTTAGACAATTTGTCTATTAAAAAAAATATTATTTCATTATATAGTCATCCTTCCTAGGGTGAGAGAAGTTTCAACCGCATTACGTTAAGTAAAGCAAAGTAATAAGGTAATCTGAAAAGTGTACAAATATCAATAAGTCTATTAAACTATTTTATAAAATACTTTAAACTATAAAATTGGTTATTTATTTGACCGTAATCTCTATGTAAACAAATTCACTTTGAAGTAAAACAAAACAAAAGTGATTACTGTGTATTTTTTAAGAAGTAAAATTAATATTATGAATTTGACAGCTGATTATCCAATATCTAACTTTGATAATCAAAACTATACAAACTTTTATGGAAGTAATAATTCACATTGGTATTATCCACTTTATGAATATTCATTGAATAATTCATCATCATCATTATCATCTAACAATCCATCATCATTAGTATCTTCAACCGGTGTATGTTTACCATTTCATGTTTACATTGATTCATATTATGCACAAACTAATACAAATGACTATGATATGAATGGATTACAATATAATCTATATAGTAGTAGTGATTCATCAACACGTTCCCTTGATGATACATCATTGTTATTACATTCATGTCATGGTAATAATACTAATAATGAATCTATTTGTATGGAATATGGAATTGATTATAATGTATCATTACCAGCTACTATTAGTAATAATCATTTAATGCCAACATCTTCATCGTTATCATCCACACCCATATCTTTGTCATCATCATCATCTTCTTCTTCTGAAGCTGGTGATACTGTAAGCACTACACCAAGTACATCACCGATTATAACTAACACCAAAATCAATGATTCTAAACCAATATCATCATCATCGATGTCCACCTGTTGGTCTGATAGTTCGACTAATGGAGAATTAATAATTTTGTCAAATAATAATAATACTGTTAATACTAATATTAATAATATTTATAATACTGAATATAATAAATTAAATATAACAAATATACAAAATAATGATAAATCTTTATCAAATTTCTCTTTTCAGTTCAAAAAAAATTATGAACAAAGAAAAACTATATTAAATCCTATAGATAATTCATTTGAAAAATTAAATAATTGCCTATATGAATATCAACAATATAATTGTTTTACTAAACATGAACATACTACTAATACCACTACTACTAATATTAATGATAATAATAACAATAATGATAATACATACCATCATCAATCATCATCATCGTCATCTTCATCATTATATTCTGAATTATTAAAATATCCTTTGACTAATTCAGTAATTACATATTCATTCCCTATTAAATCTTCATCATCAAATGAATTAAATAAATTAAATGAACAACAAAATTCTATTTATTGTTTGAATAATACACAAAATGTAATAGATTCGTCTATTAAAAAACGGAATAAATTTGATATTATAAATAAAAAATATCATTTATCTTCTACAATGGAATTAACTAATAATAATAATAATTATGGATTAATACGAGAAAATGATTATGTAATCAATAAAAATCATCTCAATAATGAATCAATACATTATCATCTTAATGAAATGAATGTTGTAAAAAAAGAACAATCTTATTGTAAAACATATACACCATCATTGATAACATCAACAAATGATTTAAATTCAAAAACAATATTTCCATCAGAAATAAATACATTATCATTAAAGTCATTTGGTAAAAGTATGATAGATCTATCAAAAACAGATGATAAAATAAAAATGGAGAAATTATGTTTTGATTATATTAAAGAAGGTTCATTTTGGACAGATATTCATGAAGAACTAGAACAAAAACAAGAACAACAACAAAACAATCATCATTTATCATCAACTTCACTATCTTATGATTTAATATCAAGAGAAACAATGGGTAACTTAAGTTATTACAATTCTTATAATCAAAATTGTGATTCATGTATTGACAAAGAAATCAATAGTCATTTATTACTTAATACACAAGATATTTGCAATAGTACAAAGATGAATAAATTAGATAATAACATATCATCAATGTCTGGAATTACACTCTCAAGAACAACAACTATATCAACAACAATGACAACAGTAATAACGACGACGACGACAATAACAACTACAGGTATGAAATCTATACAACCGTATAAATGGTTACAGATAAAACGACAACAGCCACGTCAAAATATAACAAATAACAGTAAGTATACTATTATTGTCATTTTAGAAAAATGTACATTCGACTTGTAAATTAGTTTTTTTTAAAAACTTGACTTGATAAAGTGTGTTCAGTAGAAAAAATCTAATCTGATCTTTATAATCTTATCACTTATTAATAGTAATATAGAAATTACTTTTCACTTAGAATTGGAATCTGAATTTCGATAGTATAATAAGAAGACGAAGATTAGCAGAACTATGTGATATAGTACCGTAATAGAATCTAATCACACATATACTTTATAAGAATTTTTATATATAAAAATAAAAGATCAACTAGACTGGAAATGGGGTAAGAGGAGACAACGATAATAATAAGAGTAATAATAATAATAACTTAATAATAATAATAATAATAATAATAATGTGAACACAATTTGAAACCTCATCACTCTGGATAATAAGCTAATATTACCAGGGTAGGTTTAAAGTGAAAACAAACTGTTTTTGAATATTCTAAGGGGGGTTGAATATTCGTATGGCTTCAATAAACCTTAGTATACGCCCTTTTACACATTTGTACAACACCACAAAATCCGAGTTAAGATTAATCAATTATTCAAATTTTTGCCGAAAGCATTATCATGAAAATGTACATGTGAATAAACGTAATCACAAATCATAACAAAACTTGGGCAAGTCTTTATTGGTAGATATGTGTTTCAAACTAAATCATTCAACTGTCTATTTTGTGACAGTTACTGAATAAATTTAGACTATAGCGAGAAACAGACTTGATAAGGAATGTTACATCGTATTTGGGACTTATCATATGTATGTATCTATATTCTATTGTCAACAGTATAAATTCTTATAAATAAACACCAAACCAATTGAACAAGTCACTGGTTATTTTGACTCAATAGCTTAGGGGATAACAAGTTTATATTTGAAAGGATGGGTATTGCATTCGAATCTTTAAACGTTAAAACTGGAATCTAATTAATGAATCTCGAATTGCACAAAATCAGATTTCTTGATTTTGTTGCTAGTCACAATACAAATTACTATTTTAAGACACACTAATCCGTCTTATGAATAAATAAATATAGAATTGATAGCTTCCTTATTTTCAAGACCCATACAACTAAAAGTAATTTGTAATATAATTCAAAATCTTGGAAACAAGCGAAGATTTTATGAATCAAACACATACCAAGCTTTTTAAACTTAAAAATGGTCAGTTTTGTAAATAATTAAATTCACCGCTTTTAACAAGTCTTATCTATTCTACAACCGTTAAAAGTATTGTAAGCAAAGATGGATGATGCCAAGTAATGGAATTCAGAACGCACGTTTCATCCTATTTGGGACTCGTCAGCTGGATGTGCTTGCAACGCACAGTCGATGTTCACTCTGTGACTCGAATGCATTATCGTTCACTATAAACGCCATCACGATATCCACATAGCTACTGATTCCTGATAGCCACCTGCTTGTGCGATGGGGTGATGTTGTTTACTCGTATCTTCCTATTGTTATTTAGGACTGCAATTGATCAGTCTCTGGTTAGCATATGTACATCCTGTGTGGATTGCCTTAATATTTCCACTGCTAGCTACTATCTATCTTTGCTTATAAAGCTTATGACTTAAGGCAATATCAAGGCAATCCACACAGGATGCATATATACCAACAAGAGGATGATCAACTGCAGTCCTAAACACTAATGGGAAGATACAAGCAAACAACACCAAGTGACATTAAAAATATTTCCTATATTATTCTGAAAATAGTAATTCACACAATAACTAGTGGTATTATATTGTTGTTTCATCTCTAAAAATCAAGTTTCAGTTTATTATTTATGGGGAAAAAGTTATAAATAAACCCATCTGATTTGAATGGCTTGTTTTTATTTTACTCATAAATATTATAAATAACTCAATGTATTTATACCTTATGAATTTCGTTAGGTCAGTTCAAATTTTCCATAGACTTTAAGGTAGTCATATATAAACACTTAATTAGAATGTATAGTTTCTTTGTATCAGTCTTATTCGACAATTTATTTGTAAGCAGTATCAAACTAAAACAAGCCACTAAGAAAATAACCATTGAAATGTTAATTACATAATTAATCATTTTTATAATTTAAAAGTAATTGTGAGACTATGAAACCGATATTGGTTCGACTCAACTTTTATAAATAATATTAAGGTAGATTTCTGCGGATCATTTAATAAGAAGTTACATTATATCAACTAGAGAACTATTGAGAACCGACTCTCTCCAGTCAGCTACTTCAAGCTGATTCGTTACATCTAATCCCGCACCGTGAACACAGTACATATAGATTAATAAGTTGATTGATTAATATCCTGGAACATTTTTGTATTATTACAAATTTCTTACATTGAAAACGAAATATTATTTTAATAAACCTCTAATATTGGAATCGAGTAAATCCGTGAAAATTTCAACCATAGAGTTATTTTACTATTTTAAATCATACAATTAAATTCATTTACATTATTTATTTGACTTCTTTCATGAGCCTAATGTGGTAAATTTAGTAAGATCAAACTCATAAACCAAGTACATATTCGCTTGACCAACATTTAAGCTATTACTTTTTATCATTTTTAAAGATGAACGCTGAACTATTAACCAACTGAAGTCATAAGCAGCAAAGTTCGAACCTGTATTCTAGTGACCATCAGTAATCCAATAGTGCAGACAGAACAATAATATATACATAGATTATAGGTTATTTTATTTGTACAGACTGTGATTATTTTCAAGTAAACTCGTTAAAAATATTTTCCAAGGAGTAAGTAAACAGTTTACTGAAATCCTGATGCATTAATTCTATCTGCATTTTCATTTCACCTAATTAGAAGAAATAAAAGTCAGTAGTTAAACGATATTTCATTGAAGCATATAACTTAGTAGCCTTGGATCAATAGATTGATGGTCATGTAAATTATACCAGTGATTTAATGATCAAACCGCCCTGCAAACCTCACATGACCAGTATTTTGAGTCTGAGTTTCAGTAAAAGGTAAAATAAAATCGATACACAAACAAGAAGAACCTTATTGATAATAGTGAGCAAGAATAAGGTTAAGAGTTTGCGAGCAAAACTGAAGGTCCCGGGTGAGACGCTCGCGTTCAGGGCCGTGGGTAAACACTACTGTGGAGCCCCATACTAGGATGAGACGACCGTCCAGTACTCAAGGAGCTTCAATGGTTTTTTAACATAGATCGGTCCATTATTTTATAAAATGTTTTAGGGAAACTAGAGTAATGATTTTTCCAATGTATTTACGGTGTTTGGAGGTAGTGGTTTTAAAAAAATTAGATTATTAATCCTTATGATAAATTTAGCAAGTCTGTAATGACAGGACTACGATTATCAAAACTATGTTATACATTTTATTCTGATAAGTTTATTTGAATCTGATCACGGATTAGTTTGTTAAGATATTCATATAAGAAATAAGTGGATCAAACCAGGTTAATTTGAATATAAAAATAATAACAAACTGTAGATTTCACCACTCCGATTAGTAGGATTAAAATCGATATTGTCAAATGAGATTTATTATTATTACAAAACTGTATTTACACTTTTTTCTTATCTAAAGCTATAACGTCATAATTCTAACTAAAAATCCGTCTTCTTATTTCAATGTTTATTATCGGTTATAGATGATAATATTGTTCACCTAAGACTTTGTTCAAATAAAAGGATGTTGCTGTAATATATAAACATTTTCTCTCACAAAAGATCACTTTAAAATATTCGCAATATGATGGGAATTCATAACTGGTTGCAATACATACATCATTATGTAATAACTGAAGAAGTAGTTTATATTAATTCACGAAACATCAAAAATACAATTTTTCTACTCATCGGGATATAACAAATTTATATTTATTATTAACTCTTTATCTAATACTAAGTCTAACCTTGGTATTAATACCTATGATATACATTTGTTTTGGTTCAGTGGAAACCATTATTCATATTCTTAACTATGGACAGACAAACAGGTTAAATTTTCAAAGGGAGCAAAATTGATGATTTAAGCAGAAAAGCATAAATTCATCATATTTCGCTGGACTCTCATCAGCTGCTTACAACCGGTGATATTTAAAATTCATACTTACGAAATAAGCTTAAATTACTTACATGAAAGAGTTTAGTTGAAAGTTATTTTGAAGACGCATCAGTATAGTGTAGGTAGGCAACGGCATAAACAAATCTAATAGACTGAATAAAATACCTTATATATGTAAATTATATTTGAAATAATACAGCATTATGTAATAACTGAAGAAGTGGTTTACATTAATTCACGAAACATCAAAAATACAATTTTTCTACTCATCGAGATATAACAAATTTATATTTATTATTAACTCTTTATCTAACACTTTTTTCTTATACTCGGCGCCCAATTTCTGTCAAACTATTCGTTCTAATCTTGACGAATATTCGTATAAAATACCTTACGTAAAAGAACATTCTACAACGTTAATTATAGCAAGAGTCTAAAGGACTAGAAACAAATGGTTATGTAAACGCCGATAATAAGAATGAGTAAAACTCAGTGAAAAAATGAGATTACTAATCTAGAAGAAAGTCGTAATAAAAAGACATAATGATATAATTTAATGAAATAAAGAGTTGGAAATAATTTCTTAAGATGCAAATAAGCGATATTTGTCACCAAGGCAAAGAAAGATTAAAAACCATTTCCTTTTGAACAAATATATTGAGTTTTTGACGCCTGATAGCAAAAACTTCAGCAAACTTCAGATGACTAGAACTTGGATGCTTATTAATCATCTTGAAAGGTTGCAAGGTATCGACCTGATGTCTTGTATCCAAGAGATGTCTAGCAGTTGCACTGTTCAAAGTTGTTCTTTTTTTGTTCTAAGGCTTTTTAAAGCATTCAAAAAGTTAAATTTTTTGACTGTCCTTTTTTAAATTAAACTCTGGTAATTCATTCGTGTCGACCAATTCTA